CCTTCTTTGGTATAAAGCCTTCACTGCTAGACCAACCCACCCCGTCGAATACGTGATTTTGCCCGCGAGAAATTATGATTTAAAATAACTTGGAATTGTTCTGACTGGAGCTGATGATTCTTAAATAGAGAAAGAAGGCATGTGGCCAATTAAAAGAAATTGCAACAGGATTTCACGAAAAAAAAATTATTTACTTTGAATATTATCAAAATTATCAGCCTAGCTGTGCCATGTGAAGTTTTAACAAGAAACTGATTTTCCGACAAAAGATCTTTCCCACTGCTGAGTCAACATGACCGTAATGCTGTTGTTGAGCAATAAATGTTCATGTTTGGAGATAGTTAATCGTAAATTATCGAGGAACTGCGATAATTTTGTTTTCTCTATCCCTGGTACCATGCTTAAATCGACGAGAGATAAGTAATATATATGCGTTTGTTTATCCAGGTATTTGTAAAGTGACATTTTCGACAGTGTCAGGAACCGTCATGTCTCCAAATCATCCTGACAAATATCCAAACAGTGTGATGTGCGAGTGGATCATTGATCTGGGTCCAGGATATGATATTACTCTGACTTTCCATAAGTTTAATTTGGAAAAGAAAGATGACTGTTCATGAGATTGGCTGACGGTACAGGCCGGAAACACACCAGATTCGCCGGAAGTAACCAAAGTGTGTGGTGATGAACTGCCTCCTAATTTGACAACTAGAGGGCCAATGAGGATCTACTTCCAGACAGACAATGACAACGAGTTTGAAGGGTTCCACATGACCTGGGTGGCACATGGTAAGGACTGATCCATGGGGGCGTGGCCTATCAGTTTACAGAACGCGGTTCCGGCGCGCTATACTGCTGAGCGTAAAACAGCTTTTGGAATCAGAAATACTCCTAGCAGAGGTTCACAGCAGAGAAACGCCGGCAAATTGGGTACAGCTTGGCCTTGCTTTTCTATCCCAAACTTATTCGACTTAGAATTTGCATTTTGCTAATTGGTATAAACGAATGATTTTCCTTTCTTTTTCCCACAATTTTACTGAAAGAAATACAAAACATTTTCTCCACGTTGCTATTAAGTTATAAAGGAGAACTCGAACAAGCTGTGAGAATACTTACCTTTGTCTCGTGTTTTCGTAGCATTTCTCGTTATCCTGCGAAACGTCCACTGCTGTATCAATTAGG